ACCAATCCCAGCCCTGCAGGCAGCCCCGCCTCCTCCTTCCTCCAGCTTCCCAGGCAAAAGGTGTCACCTGCTTCCATCTGCCACCGAGGCTCAGCTTACAAGGCAGCCTGAGCCATTGTGTACATGTGCTGGGCTGGGCTGCCTGAGGCAGCCTGTCTCAGTGAGAGTCACTCCCAAATCTCCCATTCCAAGCCCAACACTGGTACAGTGCCCAGGGAAACTGAGGCAAACACACACACACACAGAGTTACTACAGAACAGCACAACAGTCGGAATCACACACAATGTAACAAAGAAAACACAGTGAACACAACCCCCACTCCGTCACAGGGAGACACGGCGCGACTAGTGCTCTGATTTTAGGGTCTGAGCTGTGGAAGCCCTGACAACAGGCAGCCCCTCCCCAGCCAGCCTGGAGGCCTGTTTCTTGTTTGTACCAAGCCCCTCTCCATCTGTATTCAAATCGCAAGCCCACGTTGCCCTCTATTGTCAGCTGTTGCAGGGCAGCCAGGGACAGATGCACTTTCCTTCTCTCTCCCTGCCCTGTGTGGCCACACGCAGCTTGCTCACCAGCCCTGCTCAGTTCCCTGTCAGCCAGTTGATTGATAGATCCAAGGGGAGTCGTGTGAATTCCATCGACTTCAGTGGGAGTGAGGCCTCTAACCAGAGTTTCCTGTAAGCTGAGCGCTTGGGCAGCCACCCAAGAGAGATACAAATGCCACCCGACTGATAGCAGAGCAACCACTGCCACTCATAGCCAGCAGCATGTGTGTGTTTCCCCATGTGGTTGGTGCACACCCACACATGCCTTGGCACATATAACAAAATTCATTCCACACATGGATGGAAAGAAAAAGTTGGAAGGAATGTTACCCCCACCTCTCTTAGCCCTGTTGAGAATCCCACTAATCACCTATTAGAGATGTGAATGTTTAACCGGTTAACTGATTAAGGTTAATTGGTGGGGGCCGAGAACCATACAATGGAGCAGCCCCTGCCTGTGGCAGGGTTAGGATGGGCTGTTAAATATGTTCAACCAGTTAAACAATGAAATGGGATATTGCATCCTTAGCAGCCATCTGCATTGACAGACAAGTAAGGACATTTGAAAATCTGGCCCTAGGTCACTTTTTAAAACGAGACGCTTTTGAAAATCACATCCCGCATTCTCATATTGCTCCTCCATCGCAGAGCTTCCAAGTGCTATTAAATAATGATTTCAAGTGCTATTCAACTCCACGTGATTGTTACAGACAAGTGTGCCAGCACCACAAAGTACGCGACAATCCTAGAATGAGGATGGCCGGGTGGGGAGAGTGTTACGTTCACACTGTGAAAAACCCAAGTGATTTAGGAGCATTTTCCTTTCCAAGTCAATGGGCCTTGTGCTCCCCCATCACGGGGGTTTCGTTATATGGACCAGCCGTGTTCCGGGTGTGTGAAATTATTCTGACTCACTCGGGTACATCCATGAGCCACTGGACCATAGAAAAGTTCGACAAGAAATGCTGCCACTGCTATAGATGCTGCACCCACCCAGCTAGTGTCTGTCACCACATCACATGCTCTTCAGAGGCATCCTCGCTGGAAAGGACCCAGACACTGCGCCCAGTCACTGCAGCACTGCACTCGGCACCAGCCCTCGGGCTAGTGTGTCAGCATTTTCTTCTTTTTTCTGAAAATGATTTTTGTCGAATTTCTGCTTTTATCTTCTTTAGGTAAAACTTCTGTGTTCAGCTTTGGAACTGGGAAAACTGCCTCTTCAAGAAGAAAATGGGTGTTGAATATTTGCCCACGACTGTGTGTTTGCAAAGATTTCCTGGATTTTAATTGCGTTTTCTTTCACTTGTACAAGGTTATAGCAGGTCTTTTGGCATTTAAACTGCAGGGTGTAGATGTTCTCAGATGAAGTAATTTCTATTGCTGCGCTACCCATTCCCTCGGTGGCAGGTGGAGACCAGATGGAAACTGACCATAACCACGTTTTCTCTCTCCAGTGCTAGGAGTGCAGTTATTTCTGCACCAGCCTCAGTCGATCCAGTTTGTGGAAGTCGGTCACAGCGCAGAGATCCACTGTTCTTCCACTAAAACCTCGAAACTTGGAAGTGCTGTATTTTGGTATCTGAGAAAAAAAGGAGAGACACCCACATGCATTAAGAGCTGTTTGGATGATCAAAATGTGAGTAAATTTGCTTGCAAACACGAGCCACACAGCACGAAGCTGGAAATCAGCAACATCCAACAGAATGAGTCTGGCATTTACTACTGTGCATATAGATACCTCAGCTACCTGATTTTCGGGAATGGATCCTCACTGATTGTTGGAGGTAAGGAACCCTGCCTTATTTAGGCACACTAATAACTGATTAACAAATCATACTTCATGTTCCCATTGAAATGTGACAAGATACAATATAACCTGATGAACAACTAAAGGGAAGTAGTATTTTAAGCAAAACAGATCAGCTAACCATTAAATGATATGGGTGCAGAAGGAATATAATGCATTTTCTATCTGAAAACACTAAAACTTGAAAGTGCCAAAACAGAATTACTGACATCTCTCTATACATGTATAGGGTGATGGGTTTGGAAAATTTTAATCCAAATGTCCTCATGTCACAAAATAATATTTTGAGTAAAAATATTTACAAATGTATAAAAAGACACAAATTTCCTTGCTTCTAATCCATCTATGTAATGTGCTCTGTATTAGTGGGTAGCTGATTTCGTATTTCCATCTTCAGTAGATTAGTTGCTTCGAATTGGTGTCTCAGAGACAGATATGTGCAATGGTGCTGTAGCCTTGTTCCCAGGAGGTTAGAGAGACAAGATGGGTGAAGTAATCTCTTTTATTGGACCCACTTTGGAGACAAGATATTGAGCTTACACAAAGCTGTTCTTTGTGTCTGGGAAATGACATTGCGAGTTCTCTGTGAGCTCGACAGCCTGTCTCCCTCATTGACAGAATTTGGTCCAATAAAAGATATTACCTGATCCAGCTGTTCTCTGAGCAAACAATTCACATCTGTAACCAGAGCTCACTTGATGATCAGATTCGCCACCTCCTTCTGCTCAGACAGTTACACCGACAGCAGCGGGGTGTTGCTTCTGGTCCCATTTCCACATGGCAGCCAAGGCAACGGGACAGCGCATCTGGCCTGTGTGATCCAGGGAGTGTCCGGCCCCATCCATGTTTCCTGGAGCGTTTCTGGGGAGCGGCAGGAACAGGGGCTGACGCGCTGGTTGAAGGCGAAGGATGGATCTTTAACACTCGTAAATCACATCAGCATCCCCTGGGACACCTGGGCCAGCAGGAAGATTTTCACCTGTGACGTCAAATTCAACTCTTCTGGCAGGAGTGTGAATGCGAGTGCCGGGTACCCTGCGGGTGAGTGATCTTGTATTGGAGGGTCATGGGAACACAGAAGTGACAGAGGTGTGAAGGGGCCACACTCAGAACTCTCTCCATGTTAGTGTCCAGCCTGGAAAATTGACTATTATGAAACTTAGCTTAAATTTCTCTAGACTCGTGTTTCTCAACCTTTTTTTTTATAACGGACCCCTTTTACAAAAAATAAGTACCCTTAGTACATACATTTTTCAGGCACACATTTTTTTTTCTATTGTTGCAATACATTTGTTTAAACAGCTTCATTGTAGCCAGGCGGGCAATGACATTTTTGGGTGTAAAAAGGAAAAAAAAAATAAAACGCTGTAAAATTTAAAACAAAAATTGAGTTTTCTCCAAATATCACTTGTGTTAATGTACCCCTCTGACATATCTCGAGTACCCATAAGGATATTCGTACCGCTGCTTGAGAAACACTGCTCCAGACAATTGGGGAAGATAACTTAAGGACATTCCAGGGACCACAAGCCAATGCAGCTCTGATCTCTAGGGTAGCTCACACCCAGATGATACATAATGGATCCAGGTAACGAGTTCAACAATAATCCATATCAGGAGAGATCTTTCCACTGAGATATAACGGTGAGTGATCTTGCATTGCAGGGTCATGGGAACACAGAAGTGACAGAGGTGTGAAGGGGCCACACTCAGAACTCCCTCTATGTAAGTTTCCAGCACAGAATGCTGGACTCTTTGCGGCTTACCTTGAATTTCTCTACCTTTTTCTCAACCTTTCTTTATAAAGTACCCCTTTTTCAAAAGAAGGCCAAAGGGCTTGAATTGCAGCAAGGGAGTTTAAGGTTGAACATTACGAAAAATTTCCTAAAAGTCCAGGTGGTAAAACACTGGAATAAATTGCCTGGGGAGGTTGTGGAATCCACATCTCCAGAGATTTTTAAGAGCAGGTTGGACAGACGTCTGTCAGGGATGGTCTAGACGGTACCTGGTCCTTCCGTGAGGGCAGGGGACTGGACTTAACGAGCTCTCGAGGACCCTTTCCGTTCGGGGATTCTCTGAGAAGATGCTGCAGGCTCTGGTAGACTCACTGGGGGGTTGGGGCGCAGGGTGAAATAGGGATCAGGAGGGAGGGGCTGGATGCGGTGGAATCACAAACCTCTTGGCTCAACTCAGCTTCTTGTGTCTGTTTGGTCCCTTCCCCCACAGCCCCAGACCGGCATTGCTCACATTACCTCGTGCCCCTGGCGGCTGGGGCTGGGCTGCTGCTGCTGTCGGTGTCTCTGAGCCTCGTCTGGACCCTCTGCCGCTGCACACTAGGTGAGAAAAAGCCCCGCCCTGCCCCTCCCCCGCAGAGAGAAATCCTGCCCCCAGCTTGCTACTGGGGGCTGAAACTGTCCCGTCCAAGTGTCAAATGTCACCCCTGCCGGCACCGGTCCCAGCGTATTCCCTTGTCGGGGGGCGACACAGAACGGCTTTTACTGCTCAGGGTTCAGGCACCTCATCCATGGTTCAACATGAACACTGGCCTTCCGACCAGTCTCTCTCCATTGCCAGTCCAGAGCTCGGCTGCACCATTCCTCACTGAGCAGCAGTGACCATGGAAGATGAACTTTGCTTTTCTCTGTTCCAGGATGCCAGCCCCAGATCTCAGCGCCTCCAGCTTCCCGGGAGCCCCAGGTACGGCTCTTCCCAAACTGTCCCTGTCTACATCAGCGGGTCTGTCTCAAACATTTCTAATCCTCCCCCGTCCTAGATTGGGGATTTAAACAACTGATTGTTGTGGAAGGAGCAGGTGAAAGTGAGATCGAGTGGTTGGAGTAGCAGGAAGGGAGGACAGAGACTTAGGGTGCGTCTACACAGCAGCGTTATTTCGGAATATCAGACTGCGCGTCTACACCTCTGACTCCTGTACCCCTCATTTCCCGAGGAGCAAGGGCAGTCGGAGGACCCCTCAGTTCCCGAGGAGCAAGGGCAGTCGGAGGAAGAGTTTTCTTCCTTCGACATTCTGCTGTGGAGACGGCGCCAAAAGCAGAGTTAAACCATTTGCACTTCAGCTGCGCAATTGATGTCACGGAAGTTGCATCACTTCATTCGACTTTAGCCCTGCCATGGAGACGTGCCCCTTCTCTGGGTTTTGCTAGTAACTCATGGTACGGTAGTGAACAGGTCATTTACTTCTCTGGGACTCGGTTTCCCCACCTGAAAAATGTGGATAACAACACGTCTGCAGGTGTGTAGATGGGAAGTTTGATATTGATTCAGACCGTACCCTCCATAGGCTTTTGTTCTGTAGATGGGAGTCATTTTTAGCATTTCAACAACACAGAGTTTGAAGAGATTATATTTATAAAGCACATGTAGTTTTCCCACTGAAAGGTGCTATGGGCCTGATCCAGAGCTCACCGATCTCAGGAGGAAACTGTCCATTTATATGGGGCTTGGGTCTGGCAAAATCCTGTTGGTAGATGAGTTCCTACAGTCCAACTCCGGCGAGGGTCCATTCTGACAGCGCACACAGTTTACGAGCCAAGCAGGGGATCAGAGATGAGGGGGAGTTTTTCATCAGGCTACACCCGCTTGAATGCTCAGCTCGGATCCCCTCAGTTTACAAGCCAGGGAGCTAATTTTACGGACTTTCACCAAACAGGCTGGAATCGTCTACGCTCATCTGGATTTCGATTCATGGAATCGCGGCGGGCGCACGCTGCCACCATCGGCCAGAGGGAAACGTGGAAAACCCTGAGCTGCCTGGTGCAAGAGAATCCGCACATGGGAACTGACGGCTGGGTCTCTGCTGACCGGACGTGGCAGCTGGAAGAAGACTCCGTCTTTCGCCGTCACCTTTCTCTTTCATTTCCTCCACTTCTCTGAATAGAATACGCAGAGCCCAGCCTGCCAGGTGGGAAATCTCCTTTGGGGATATAAAGGTTTCCTGGTGCAGGTGACTTTACACATCATGTGTGTGTTAGGCTGGAAGCTCTTTGGGGCAGGGACTGTCTCCTTGTCTGTGTTTGTGCAGCGCTTGGCGCCACGGGCCCTGATCCAACTCTGGGCCTGCTGAGTGCTATGGTAACGCAATCATTGTCATCATCACACTCCCCCTCATCTGCAGCGGGACCCAGACACAACTGAGCGGCACAAGAAGTGAGGCCGGATGGCAGGAGCCTGCAGAGGGGACGTGCAGCCCTTGTGTGTGCACGGCTCCCCGGAAGTTGCGGGCTCCCTTTACAGTAACGCCCCATGGACGTGCCGCGGGAGTCTGCAGGGGAAGGACGGATACGGGAGCAGCTTGGATCAAAGAAAATCTTTCCTCAGGCTGGTGCTGGAGCTGCTACACCCAAGGCCCAAGTTCCAGCCCCTCTCCCCCTTCTAATGACAATATCAACCCGTCACCTGCGGCTGGGGCTCTCCCCACATCTCAGCTTGCTGTTCTTCAAGCTGTCCCTGTGTCCCTCATTAAAACCCAACGCAGCCCCACCAGTGACGTGTGTGTCACATTTCTCGCCCGCTCTGGGCCTCCAGCTCGGCTCCCTATGCAATAAGAAAGCGACGTCTGCAACACATCAGGCCAGATGCCGCTTTGGTTTTCAGCAGCGTCAGTCTGGCCTTTCCGATAAGGCCCTTGTATGAAATGTGCTGGGGAGTGTCACGGAGTGGGGGGAGCCACCGGGCCCTGCACCCCACCCGCAGCCAGAGGGGACTCTCAGGCGGCAGGTAGAACAGAAGGTTTATTGGTTCCCAGGGACGCAGCGTAGCACAGACTTGTTGTTACAGGAACCAGGAGCCGTCAGCACAATCCAACGTGGGTGCTGGGCTGGGCAGCCTGGGGCAGCCTCCTGCAGTAAGAGTCACACCCAAAACGCCCATCAGAGAAACTGAGGCACACACACACACATACACACAGTCACTGGAAAGCAGCCCAGGACCCTAGGACTCACACACAGCACAACAAAGTAGAACCCCTGCTCCGTCACATCTCCCCACAGCGAGACCAAACTGAGCAGGGTCACTCAGCCAGTGACCTGGAGACGTTCAAACCCGTCTCTCCGCCCCAGAGCATCGGCCAGGACTTGGCCCCGTCCTTAACACAGACCCCTCCGTGACACAGTGAGCCAGCAGCAGCCTCCATCTCAGCAGCTCGGCCCTGGGCCCTTTCAGGTGCGGGGCAGCCCCTGGAGCTGTCTGGCTGCTCCCAGCTGGGACAGGATCCAGCTCCATGGAGGGATCATTCTCTGGCAGCTAGGTATGAGCCGGGCTTTGCTGAACCCTGGGGTCTTCCTGGAACAGCGAGATGGGTATTGGCCACCTCCCTGCTTTCCCAGGGCTGCAGACTCACAGGCCGCTGCCCACAATTCCCAGGAAGATCCCTTCAATGTGCCAGCCCCCTGGAGTGTCGCACCCCTCGGGGGTTAGACCGTAGGCCTCTCCACCTCCTGGGACCGCTTCCCACAGCCCGCAGGGGATCTCCTCCTCGGGGTGACACCCCTTCTCGGGGATCACACCCGGGTTACACCGTAGGCCCCTCCGCTTCGTGGAACCGCTCCTCACTCGCTTTAGCACACCTGGCTCCTGCAAGCCCCCTTCTTTCTACTGTGCCACAGTCACTTCCTGTTGGATGCTCCGTTCATGGGGAGCAATCCATCCCACCGCTGCCACCATTGTCACAGAGTATGGGGAAGCCACCAGCTCAGCACCCCCACCCGCAGCCAGAGGTGACTCTCAGCCAACAGGTAGAACAGAAGGTTTATTGGTTCCCAGCGTAGCACAGACTTGTTGTTAACACAGGAACCAGGAGCCCTCAGCACAATCCAACCTGGGGAGAGAGGGTCCGAGAGCCAGCCCCCTGACCCCCTCTCTGCAAACTCAGCCAGTCCAGACTAGCTCACACATTCAGCAACCAGCCCCAGCCCCACAGGCAGCCCCACCTCCTCTTTGTTCAGCTTCCCTGGGCAAAACGTGCCACCCAGTTGCATCTCCCATCTAGGCTCAGGTTACAAGGTAGCCTGAGCCATTGTGTCTGTGCTTGGCTGGGCAGCCTGGAGCAGCCACCCTCAGTGAGAGTCACGCCCACAGTTCCCATCCGCATCCGGGCACCAGTACAATGAACAGGGAAACTGAGGCGCGCACACACACACACACACACAGAGTTACTGCAGAACAGCACGGGACAGTAGGAATCACACACAGTGTCACAAAGCAAACAGAGCGAACCCAACCCCCACTCCCTCACAGAGAGACACTGCGTGATCAGCGCTCTGATTTCCAGAGTCTGAGCTGTAGAATCCCTGCCAACAGGCAGCCCCTTCCCAGGCAGCCAGGGGGCCTGATTCCAGTTTGTATCAAGCCCCTCTCCATCTGTATTCAAATCGCAAGCCCACGTTGCCCTCTATTGTCAGCTCTGTCAGGGCACTCAGGGACAGATGCACTTTCCTTCTCTCTTCCTGCACCCTGCGGCCACACGCAGCTTGCTCACCAGCCCCGCTCGGTTCCCTGTCAGCCAGTTTATTGCTAGATCTGAGGGGAGTCGCATGAATTCCATGGACTTTAGCAGGAGCGAGGCCTCTAACCAGTGTTCCCTGTAAGTTGAACACTTCGGCGGCCACCCCGGGAGATTCAACTGCTACCCAGCTAATAGCAGAGCAACCACTGCCACTCATAGCCAGCAGCATGTGTGTGTTTCTCGTGGTGGTGCACTTCCACATATGCTTTGGTGCACATAACGAAATTCATTCCACACATGGATGGAAAAAAAATTGGAGGGAACATTACCCCTACCTCTCTTAGCCATGTTGAGAATCCCACAAGGCACCTCTGAGGGATGTGAATGTTTAACTGGTTAAGGTTAACCGGTGAGGGCCCAGGAGCCAGCAAGCTGGGGCTACTCCGACCAGAACACCGGAGCAGCCCCTGCCTGCGGCAGGGGAGGAGAGGGCTGTTAAATATGTTTGGACAGTTAACCAATTAAACAGGATTTTACAGCCCTAGTGCCCACCTGCATTGACAGGTACCGAAAAACATTTGAAAATCTGGCCCGAGGTCACTTTTTAAATCGAGACGCTTTTGAAAATCATACCCAGCATTGTCATATTTCTCCTACATCTCAGAGCTTCCAAGTGCTATTAAATGATCATTTCAAGTGCTATTAATGTCCACCGAGATGAAACTCCACGTGATTGTTACACACGTGTCCTAGCACCTCAATACTGTATGCTACAGTAATAGACCAAGCATGGAAGGCTGCAGACAGAGTAACATTCACATTGTGGGAAAAAACCAAGTGATTTAGGAGCATTTTCCTTTCAAAGTCGTGTCCTAGCACCTCAATACTGTATGCTACAGTAATAGACCAAGCATGGAAGGCTGCAGACAGAGTAACATTCACATTGTGGGAAAAAAACAAGTGATTTAGGAGCATTTTGCTTTCAAAGTCAATGGGCCTTGTGCTCCCGCATCACGGGGGTTTCGTTATCTAGACCATCCATGTTCCGGGTGTGTGAAATTATTCTGACTCACTCGGGTACATCCATGAGCCACTGGACCGTGGAGAAGTTCGACAAGAAATGCTGCTGCTGCTGTAGATGCTGCACCCACCCAGCTAGTGTCTGTCATCACATCACATGCTCGTCAGAGGCATCTTCACTGGAAAGGACCCAGACACTGCGCCCAGTCACTGCAGCACTGCACTCGGCACCAGCCCTCGGGCTAGTGTGTCAGCATTTTCTTCCTTTTTCTGAAAATGATTTTTGCCAGATATCTGCTTTTATCTTCGTTAGGTAAAACTTCTCCATTAAGCTTTGCAACTGGGAAAACAGCCTCTTCAATAGGCAAATGGGTGTTGAATAACGACTGTGTCTTTGCAAAGATTTCCTGGATTTTAATTGCATTTCCTTTCACTTGTGCAAGGTTATAGCAGGTGTCTTCGCATATAGGCTGCAGAGTGTAGATGTTGTCAGATGAAGTAATTTCTATTGCTGCGCTATCCATTCCCTCGGTGGCAGGTGCAGACCACATGGAAACTGACCATAACCACGTTTTCTCTCTCCAGTGCTAGGAGTGCAGTCATTTCTGTACCAGCCTCAGCCGATCCAGTTTGTTGAAGTTGGTGACAACGTAACTTTCGACTGTTCTTCCACTCGGAATATGGAAGCGGGAAGTGCTGTGCTTTGGTATGTCAGAAGAGAAGGAGAGACACCCACATGCATTAAGCGCTGTTTGGATGATCAAAATGTGAGTAAATTTGTTTGCAAACACAAGTCACACAGCACGAAGCTGGAAATCAGCAACATCCAACAGAATGAGTCTGGCATTTACTACTGTGCATATAGATACGTCAGCTACCTGGTTTTCGGGAATGGATCTGCACTGATTGTTGGAGGTAAGGAACCCAGCCTTGTTTTGGGAAACTAATAACTGATTGACAAAGCATACTTTATATTCCCATTGAAATGTGACAGGATACAATAGCTCCCGAGGAACAGCCAAAGGGAAATAATACTTTAACAGAGCAGCTTACCATTAAATGATATGGGTACGCAAGTAATATAATGGAAATATTAAAACTTGGAAGTGCCAAAAGTGAACTCTCTATAGATGTACACGGCTCCTGGGTTGGAAAAATGTTAACCCTAAGGCTGCGTTAAAAGCATTTCCGGAAAAGAGCATCTAGACTGGCACAGATGCTTTTGCGCAAAAGCACTTTTTGCGGAAAAGTATCCATGCCAATCTAGACGCGGTTTTATGCAAGAAAGCCCCGATCGCC